CTTTATTATTTGGCTTAATAAATAATGACCCTAACACATTTAAATATGTATCATATATATACATGACCCAAAATTTGCCAACAATATATATATATATATATATATATATATATATATATATATATATATATATATATCAATAATATGTTTTATATTTTAAATATGTTTTATATTGATTTTATTCCTGTGTGAAATAAAGCAATGAAAATTGTTTTACATAAATAAATTTTAAAATAATTCCGTATTTGATATAAGCAGATAGAATTTGTTTATTCAATGAGCAGAAAACTTCTTATTATAAAAATAAATATATTAAACAAACATATTTAAAAAAATGTTATTTTATTAAATAAACATTTATTTGTAAAAATATGTACAAGCGAACGGGTCAAAAATATCCAAATAATTTATGTTATATTTAAATTTTTTTATATATCACCTATCTCTGTGGATAAATTATTAAATCATGACTTACATGCATTGAAAAAACTCAGGATATATAATCTGAAGTTTTTTTTTTAAATCATAACAATAAATAGTTATGATTCCTTTAACTTTTAAGTATATTTTTAAATTATACGTAAATTTGTTTTTGATATATCTATATTTATATATAAACACGCATTTTTTTTATATTAAAATTATGAAACTCGTAAATTGTTTGCGTACCCTATAATTCAGTAGGTAAAAATTAGGTTAATTTTCAATTCATACTTGAATATAGGTATGGTTTTTCTAAATACTTTCTATATAATCTTTATAATTTCTTATTTTCTTAAACTAATTTCTAAATAACTAAGCTACAATTTAACAAAGTATGATATATCACTGATCTGTGTAATTTGACAAATAAAAATTACAAATTTTAAATAAAAAAAAAACTTTTTCACTTTTTTTTTAATTCAATTTTTTATTTAAAATAATATAAACCGAACTTCCTTATTAGATAAAGTTTTAGGATATTAAAATAGATAAAAATTATTATTATCATTATAACCAATTAAAACGAGAAAGACAACTACGATTACACATAAATTAAAATATGGGAACCAAAATATTATATTGAATTTAAAAAAAGGTTCCTAACTAACTCACACAATAATAATTAGGAGCATATGTATTATATAATAATAATAATAATAATAATAATAATAATAATAATAATAATAATAATAATAATAATAATAATAATAATAATAATAATAATAATAATAATAATAATATCGTATGAGCTAATTATTTTAAGTAAGGGGATAGGGTCAACTTAAGGATAGTCATAGACTTTTGAGTAGTTTTTTTTTTTAATTATCAAAAATCCATTCAAAGAAACCACCAACTCTTTCTTGAGTTATATTGTAAAAATGAGTATTTAGATATTTGATTTGAATTTTTTTTTCGGATCCTAATTATTCTGTAATATTTGGATTTGTAGATATTAGGAATATGGAAACCATGATTATTATATGAAGACTATGATATCATTGTTTTTTCTTAATCTATGTGCTCTTCCGTTAAATAACGAAACACACCAAGTATTCTTTTCGCACAACTTTGTTTTTCAATGTTTTATATCTGACTTCTCACAACTTAATTAAGCATTATCCTGAAAAGTTGAACCTTTACGCCAAACCATTTGAAGCGAAGATAAATTAAAATTAGTTTATATCTAAATTAATTTGAAAAATTTCTAATTTATGTATAAGTTAATTTAATTTATAAGTTGGTATTATAAATATATCATACAAAACTAATATGAATCTATCGGGTAAGATTGCGGCCAACAACCTTTAGAAACGAAGAAAAGTACTAAATGCAGTACAGTTTAATAAATTAATAATTATAGATGAGAAGTAATTAAATAATTTTAAAAATAATTTTAATTTTCATCATGTTAATTTTTAGTTTTGTTCTAATTTAATGATACTACAAAGTAACAATGATGAATTAAAAGAAAGTAAAGAGTTAGCTAGAATGGAATTTAAATCTTTTAAAGTAACTTGATTAATTTTCATAATATTCTCTAAAATGTTATACAGAGATATCAAAATGTTTATCGTTTTCAAAGAAGCAATCCTATACATTACTGTTGAAAGTCATGAAGTAAGAAAATTAATATTGCAAACAGGAAATTAGTAAGAAAAATGTGATGTGTAACCAAGAGAAACAAGTACAAATGGAGGAATTGCTGAAACAAGAGGGTCACTTTCCTCACATTTTACAATCAATTTACAACTTTCTTTTGAAACTAAATCTATACTTTCAAGCTTCATGCCCATACTTATCTTCAAATCAGAAGACTTCTTCCCCAGTATTAATTAGTGCCAATTAATTTTATAAAATTCGTGTGTGTTGTGAATGAGGCCAATTCTCGTTGACAAGTACAAATAAAAAAGTTTGCCTATCTGTGGCCAACGCAAACAATTTAGCAAACAATTGGCAAGAGAATATATATCTAGCAAACTGTAACGCGTTTTATTGGATAATTATTCATTTTTCTTCCCAAATTTTTCTATAATATTGCCACCCCATAAAAAAGAAAGAAAAAAGTATAGGCCTTCACTTAAATGTCAATAAATTGCAAAAGTTGTTACACTATAATGAACGAACAAAAGCGCATGAAAATATGGAGCTAGCAAATTTGGAAAAGTAAGACATGGTGAGCAGTCCCTAGTTTACAACTTTACATCCATAATTGTCCTTCAAACCAACCCTTCTCTTCCTCTATATAAAGCCTTTAGTTTAGGACATGAACCCCACACATCCTCATCTAAATCTCTATAGTTCTTTGTCTCTACCCTCTCATATTAATTCTAAACCCCCTTGAAAAGGAAAACTTTTGCCATAGCCTAGTCCTCACAATGGCATCATCTTCATCTTCCTTTTCCTTGCTAATAACCCTTCTACTTGTTCCCTTTCTATTTTCCTCCATTGCTTTCTCTTACTCATTCAAGGATATTCAATCATGGTGCAACCAAACCCCTTATCCTCAACCTTGTGAGTACTACTTGACCAACCATGTCTTCAACAAACCCATCAAAAACAAATCCGATTTCCTCAAAGTTTCCCTTCAACTTGCACTAGATAGAGCACAAAAGGGCGAACTAAACACCCACTCTCTAGGACCAAAGTGTCGCAACGTCCATGAAAAATCTGCATGGACTGATTGCATTGAACTCTATGAATACACCATCCAAAGACTCAACAAAACTCTTGACTCCTACACCAAGTGCACCCAAACCGACATGCAAACATGGCTCAGCACAGCTCTCACAAACCTCGAAACATGCAAAACCGGGTTCTATGATCTTGGTGTCCCAGATTACATCCCACCCTTGTTGTCCAATAATGTCACAGAGTTACTAATCAACACCCTCTCTCTCAACAAGGGTTCCAATTACCAATTCAACCAACCTACTTACCAAGAGGGGGTCCCTACATGGGTGAAGCCTGGTGATAGAAAGTTGTTGCAGTCATCTTCTGCAGCTTCTAAAGCTAATGTGGTTGTCGCCAAAGATGGTTCTGGAAAGTACACAACAGTGAAAGCTGCTGTTGATGCTGCTCCAAAGAGTAGCAGTGGAAGGTATGTTATATATGTGAAAGGTGGAGTGTACAATGAACAAGTTGAAGTAAAATCAAATAATATAATGTTAGTTGGCGATGGTATCGGAAAAACCATAATCACAGGTAGCAAAAGCGTTGGAGGAGGATCTACAACCTTCCGTTCTGCCACTGTTGGTAAGCATGTTTTTCTCTCTAACTTTAATTTCATTTGTTTGATCACAAGAACTTATAACTATTTAATGATGGTTTATTAATTCGCCATAATATGAATAGATTTATATTTAATACATGAATAATGTGCTTTAACATATTACTGGTTCATTAGTCAAGATCATACACTTTGTATTTAATTAAATTAAAAGCAACAGTGTAAGTTGATTAACTAGCAAAACTTGTAGTATAAGAAACACTTTCCTTTACTTTGATATTATTTTACTTTTCAAGGCTAGGATTAGTCAGAATAATTATTTACAGCAATAAATGAATATTTTGTGGTGTACATATTTTTATTTTATTATTTTCCAATGAGTTTTATATTTATATACCGTTATATTAAGATTTTTACACTGATATATATTGATAAAGATGATAAACTGAAGAAAAATATTATACATGATAACAATCTATGATTAAAAGTTGTCAATAGAAAGAGTTATGTTCTTGCCATAAATAGTCAACAGAAAGAGTTTTTTTGTGTGGATACAAACAAATAAGAAGATGTATATATATTACATTGTGAATTTTCTTCTTGTTAAAATTTCATGTCTCTAAATAATTAAAAGTTTTCCATTCGTTAAAAAGAAATTTATCACACATGAATGGGTAAGAAAGATGGAGTAAATGTGTTTAAACCCATTGCAAGTCAAAGAGACACTAATGTGATGATTTTCCATTGGAATTGAGAAAATATAATTAATGTTCTTTAGCCTCAAGTTTGATTCAAGAGTTAATTGACGTGGATAAGTTGAATTGGTGCCTTGAAAAATATGAAGGACGCACAAAACTTGTCTTAGGAAACAAGCTTAGATTGTTGAGGTTATGCGATTGAAGTTTGACTTTGAGGCATGCAGAAAAATGGGTTCAAGATTATTATACGTTTCTCTCGTGGACCCTCCTAAAAAGTTGCATTCATCATCTTTGATTCCTGATCCAAAGCATGGTACCCACTCTGATATATTCTATAAGTTCCACGTACAAAAGCTAGATTAAAGTAGAGTACGAAATCTTTATTAATTGATAATGAATTGAACAATTCAAAAGTGCACAAAATTAGTTGATACGGCATATGGATAAGGACGATTGGGTTGAATATATATAAGCTAAAAGAAACTTTATTTTAGAATACAAATTATATGAATAGTTGGGAATTTACTAAAAAAAAAATACAAATAATTTAAGAAGAGAACCTATAAATTGAAATGTATAGAAATTTTTATGTATACTTATTGACTTTTATAATAAAACAAATATATTGGGAATTACTATTTTTTTTTATTGAGATGCATAAAAATACACTCGTTTATATAGTTTTTAATATGTTTTTACATTATTTATTAAAAAGTGATTTTTTTTAAGTAATATCCTTACAATATTTGCTGACAGTACCATAAATTTTCAATTATAATGCATAGAAATTAAATGAGAAATTATCGTACATGAATTGAATTTTTCTTTTCTTCTTTTTTTCTCAGCTGCTGTGGGTGATGGATTTATTGCTCAAGACATCACATTCAGGAACACTGCAGGAGCTGCAAATCACCAAGCTGTGGCCTTCCGTTCTGGTTCAGATCTTTCAGTATTCTACAGATGCAGCTTTGAAGGTTACCAAGACACATTATATGTTCATTCAGAGAGACAATTTTATAGAGAATGTGACATCTATGGCACAGTGGATTTCATCTTTGGAAATGCTGCAGTGGTCTTGCAAAACTGCAACATCTATGCAAGAACTCCTCCTCAGAAAACCATCACAGTCACTGCTCAGGGTAGGACTGACCCTAACCAAAACACTGGAATCATCATCCACAACTCCAAGGTCACTGGTGCCTCAGGCTTCAACCCTAGTTCTGTGAAATCATACCTTGGCAGGCCGTGGCAGAAGTACTCAAGAACAGTGTTCATGAAGACCTTCCTTGACAGTTTGATCAACCCTGCTGGTTGGATGGAATGGGATGGTAACTTTGCTTTGGACACTTTGTATTATGCAGAATATGCCAACACTGGTCCTGGCTCCAACACTGCCAATAGGGTCACTTGGAAGGGTTACCATGTTCTCACAAGTGCTTCTCAGGCCACACCTTTCACTGTTGGTAACTTCATTGCTGGCAACTCTTGGATAACTAGCACTGGTGTCCCTTTCACCTCTGGTCTTTAAAGTTATTATCTAGTTTACATTGCTTACAAATTGGTATACTTTATATGTATATTTGGACAAACTTTTCATAAATATTTTTGGAGAAAAAAATTAAATGAAATTTTTTATAAGTTAAAATTAACTTATGTATAAGTTAAAATAAGAATTTAGAATTTTTTTTACCAATTGACTTATGCATAAATTAATTTTAATTGAAAAAATCATTTTATTAGAAGTATTTATGAAGTTTTTTATAAACCTACGTTTTGTGATTTAGTCTTCTTGTATTGATTCATGTTCCATTATTTGTCACAAAAAATTGTATATGTTGGCTGTGTTATTGAATAAGGGAAGGGAAAATAAGTTAGTATTGGTGTTTAAATTTTTACTTTGATGTAATGAATTGTTCTTGTAATAAAATAATAGCTGAAAAGGGTTCATTTGAAGGTCTTGCCATTTTTCTATTTTTCTGTATTGAATCCAACTACAAAAATAATCAATTTTACGTTATTTGCGGTTCTCAAAACCGTTGTAGAAAAGAGGGTGATTAAGTGATTCCCGACAGTTTTTAGGAACCCCAAAAAATATACAATTTACCTGCGATTTAGTAACCGCCGTTAGTTTGTAGCAGTTTATAACCCTGGTAATTAACCACGGTTATTAACCGTGATTATTTAGTCGCGGTTTGTAACTGTTGTTACTTAGCAACGATGTTGAACCTCTACTAATTAACTGTGGTTTGTAACTCGTTGTTGGTTTGCAAAAGAACTTCCCCTATTTAGCAGCGGTTTAAAACCGCTGTTAATGTTGGCATTTGAATCATTGTTGTTCTTATATTAATCATGCTATCACCCATTCTTATATTTTCCCTATTAATAAAAGTATACATTAATTCTTCATTGAATAAATTAATATTATTGACATCAATATGTTCATAAAATAAACATAATTGCTAAACATTAATTCTTCATTGAATTAAAATCAAATTAATATTTTGAACATCACTTCATTCATAAACTAAATTCAACAATACAAAAGTTAAACAATGTCTTGTTTAACGTTCAACATTTTAACAGGAAAATAATCAACAACAACAATATTTAAAAAGTCAACAATGTTACAAACACTCTTTAACTTTCTTCTTAATTTGTATCTTTATGAGGAACACTTCCTTGATCAAATACCTACAATATAAAATAAAATAAAAATGAGTAGTAATGAAATTATAAAAAAAATATTTGATAAATTTTCAATTATTACCGGTGATGCTTGAAACATGGTAAATTGTGAAGGTAGTTATACTTGAAAATTCTGCAGTAGGAATGTCATCATTGTCTTCATTTCATTGATTTGTGATGTCAATAAAATAACCTGAAACAAAATGAACTTGAAATAACATCATTAACAACCTAAACAATATTGAAAGTGTATGTGCAACTCTTGTAACACCTTAATTTTTTACATATAGTATTTTAATGTATAAAACAAACTTTATAATAAGAAATTTTTATTTTTCTTGTGCATAAATTTAGAGTTTGCATCATATATGGAGATTTCTCATCCTCTACTGTTGTACTCATTTCATATTACCTTGAATAAAGTTTTTATGCCAATTATAAAACATGCAATAAAATATAGGTTAGCATACACTTGACAAACTTTACCTTTTCAAAAGAAACACTCTCTCTTAAAGCAGTAAGATTGGTCACCCCATATGAAGTTAAATCACCAACACAAGTAGGATCAACTTCAGCTAATGCTCATAATGCTAAAGCAGCCTCAATTCGGACCTAACAACCTGCATATTTAGAATAGATATGACAGAGACAAGAAATAAAAGTCATAATACAAGAACTGTGATGTGATTCCATATTTATCACAAACAAAATTTTTAAGTAAAAGGTTTGTGAATTGGATAAAGCCATGTAGTGACTAATTATACTCACTTATTACTAGTACGCGTGCTTGTAACTCCAACAATTGAGTAATTATCAATAGTCAAGGGGATAGTTATCTCAATACAATTTTTATAATGTAGCATTAAAATTCACAGTTAGCTACACACGTAATAAACTAATTTTATTTATATCTCTAATAAACACACATCACAAAAATTGATAGAGCTTAGAGCATATAAAAGGAACATAACAGGATGGATTTCTCACAACTATATGCTTAAATTTGATTATTATATACAGAGAATGTAACCAATATATATCATAAATTAAACAATTGGTCAAAGAAGTTTCAATAACATGTATACAAGTAATCTTTTTTTTTATACATCACTCAAAGAAGTTGTTACATTTATCTCCACAAACTGTCATTCTAACTAATTTTTATCTATCTTATCTCCTTTTACATCCTCGAAGAAAATATTTACAAGACCAAATCACTTATATTTTCAATTATTTCATCCCACTCCAAAGAACATATGATGTGTTAAACTTAAAATTAGTATTCAATCCAAAATGAACAGCGATATTAATGTATGAAAAATAATAAATCATAAATTATATTTATGTAAAATACGCTTTCAATAGCTCACTAGTTTTGAAGAATGTGACACTGTTGCAACTACAGTGTTGTCAAGAATTTCCTTAAATTCAAACGGAACCTGCACAAGAAATAATCAAAATAAGCATACCTTGAATGATGAAGAGGCTGATTGAGAAGGAAAGAGTGTACATAGTAGTGAAAATAATGGAATTAAGTTGCAATAGACGAAATAAGGAAGAAAGAGGAGAAAAATACCACACACTAGGGTTTGCTTGTTGTTCGAAGATGAGAGATGCATGGTTTAGGTGCTACGGTTTGCCGACAGTTCGAAGATGAGAGGTGTAGGGTAGAGACATAGATTGAGCCTCAGATTGGTTTGTGTGGTGACTCTTTGAGGTGTCGAGTTCGAAGGAAGACTACATGCTACGGTTGGCTGAAGTTCGAAGATGATAGGCCGTTAGAGTTGGTTTCGGTGTAGGGGAAAACAAGAGAGGGTTGCGTGAAGAAGAAGAGAAGACGTTGTAGTTCAGCGAATTCGAAGAAGCGGGTGTAGGTTTAGAGAGAAAAAGAGACGAAGAGAACAACGACAACGAGAGAGTTTTGTGAAAGATTAGGGTTGTGCGAAATATATTTTACTCTTAACAGCAGTTTCTATATAAACTGTTAGAAGTTAATTTAAAAAAATGAAATAAAGTATGGTAACGGCGGTTTATTTTATAAACCGCCGAGAATTAAACGAGATTACAAAATCGTGGTTAAATTTATACATTTTTGAAAGTTTTTATAACCGCTGTTAAAAATCCTTGCTATAATTTAGTATTTTTGTAAGTCTGCAAAATTCTCAAATTTAACCAAAGATTTTTTTTTCTCTTTTAATACTCTATGAACATCTCTAAAAAAATTATATTTGAGATTAAAAATCATAGACAGAAATCAAGACCAAAATTTAAACATCTTTTATTAATCTGAAATAACTTTAGTTTAGATTATTTTTATTTAATAAGTACCTATTTGTGTTGAACTTTGCTATAATTAGTTTTCCTAAAATTAAATTTTGAAAGATGAAAAATGCATGTGCAGTTTACAAGATAAACATCAGAATAATAATTAATTAAAAAATCAATTTTTTTAATTGTAATTAATAAAAACTAACTTAGCTGTGTACTCCTTAAAAATTAGTAAATTATTATTCATTTTATAAAATTCATTGAATTAGCTTCATTTTCTTGAGTTGATTTACTTATCCTAATTATTATTTAAGTCTATCACATCTTCATCAAGCAAAATTTGAGAATTCTACTTCTTCACAAGTTCAAATCCATAGAACAAATAAGTTATGGACATGACATAGTATACAATGTTCATGTTTTTCTTTTTCAATTGGTACATAGGGTTAGATCACAGTCGGTATTATTCAGGCCCAATTGAAATTAATATTAATTGGGTCAATTATTGAGAGATGCTTTTTGCACCCACTTTTTTAATTTTCACAGTTCTATTGCATAGTTTTGGTGTTTTTTTTATATATTTAAATGTAGGTTTACTTACACTTTTATTTTTTATTTTCATTTTTACTTAAAATATCATTTTAATTTCAATCTGTTTAGGTTTTAACCATACAAACTGAAAACCCTAATTTTTTTTTTCATTTCTATACAAATATTTTTTTAATCCGAATATATATTTTTCTAAATGCTGATTAATTAGTGTCAAACTTTGTTTATACCATTATCTTTTCAAAATGCAATGTCATCATTGTAATGAATGGAGTTGGATAGTCTAACAATCACTCAATATTTTTATTTTAAAGATTTTTGTTTAAAAATTAAGAAATGTAATAAAATGTATCTTAATAAAAATAGTTATATGACAATTTCAACCAACATTTAACTCTAATTTATTAAAGTTTAACCTAATTTTACCTCTACAAATCAATAGGTATATTTGCTTAAATATTTTTTTAGAGAAAATTAATTTGATAAAAAATGTAACCGATTTTCAGATTTTATTGATTTTATACCAATTTAATTAAAATATGATTATTTATAACTAACAAATCGTTTCTTAATTGATTTTTTATTACAGTAGTTAAAAATCAGTCGAATCATTCTTTAATGCTGGAACGATGCAGAGTGTAATTAGACCTTTACTGGAAGGAGTTTTTAACTTAATTGAAACACACATGTAATTAACGAAACAGATTAGACAATTAAGAAAACAAAAATGGAGACTATAAACAAGATTATTTTTATGAAAAAGAATGATTCGTTTTTGTTCTGAGATCACAAAGGCAAGTGATTTGGCAACCTTTTTTTCCTTTGAAGTTGATGGGTATGACAGTTCCACTTTATAAACCAGAAGATTAATTACATCCACCTTCTCAAAAACATAGTTTATTATTAAACACAAAAGTGGAAGCACCACTTTCATATAATAAATTTTCACAAACATTTTGAAATGATTACACCCCTTCTTCCTTGCTGTGACCTCCACATTTTTCTAACCTGCATATTATTCAAACACATATCTAATTTTAGTACAAGTTACTATAATGCTTAAGTTTTATTTGATAGTTTTAAATTAGGTTTATTTTTAATTAGACTATATATATATATATATATATATATATATATATATATATATATATATATATATATAAATTAAGGATCATTATAAGCATTAGGACATCAAGAAGTTAAAGTATTACCAAATGCTCTTCTGCAGATTGAGAGAAGGACAACAAGAATGGCTAGAGCAGCAAGCACTCCCACAATAATGGCAACTGATTTCCCCACTTCGTCATCCTCCTTCCAAGAATCTGCCCAAAACACAAAGTTTCCAAAACCAATAATCAAACAATTTATAACACTGCATCAAATTTTACAAAGATACCATATTACATTAAAGAAAACATAGAATGAAATAGATGAAGTATAAAACTTTAAGTGTTTGAATTCAAAAGATTGCCTTGGATTCCATGTTTTCTCATCTTTAATTAATACTGAAATGTAGCTTTTTGCCAAACTATGATACTAGAAAAAAAAAAGGGTGTAGGAAGAAAAGGTAAGGTTGTCTAGTGAGCTGATACTCTAACAAGCAAAGATAAAGAATAAAATAGTGGATGTGTTCAGAGATTTAACCAATAGTAATAAAACTTATAGAAAGTTACAGAGACCAAAGAAATTGCAGTGTGCATTTTCCAATGTAAAGCATAAAAGTAAACACTTTGCTTCATAAAAAGATTACAAGTTGGTCGTTGCATTTGACAATTTGTTAGGTACTAGTTGCTTGCAGCATCCTTTCCACCTGAGTTAATTTCACTTCACTTTTGAGCAAAGGGTCTTTGACACGCACAAGGTTTCTCTATCTAATACCAATCACATTTTAAACTTCAAATTCCTTCAAGTTTTCCTTTAGCAAATGATCAATGGGAAGAATATTCAGATCATGTTTAATGGAACTACTTAGTAATTTTTGTTAAAGTAAATTTCTAATTTTGATGGAAAACAGCATTACATATATATTACTGCATCTAAATGTTGTCCTATTATACTGAAGTGAAAACATAAGAATTAGGAATCAAATGGACCTGCTTCATCATAGTAGCCAGCTTCCCAGTACCGAGCATAACATTGTGCCAAGAACACATCAGCAGATGCTGCTGATCCACATATGCTCCTAAGCTTTCCCACTGCTGCTTGAAGGCATGAGGAGCAATCAGCCACATTCAAATCTCCCAAACACAGTGCAAACCCTTCAACAAAACCAGAAGTACTGACTCCAAATCCATTAGCTGCTTGCAAATCAGAAAGAACATCATCTCTACGCCTGAAGAACTCAGCATCATTTGTCACTGCTTTACTGCACTTCTTGTACCAAAGGCTTGTGTCAGGCTTGCCAAGGAAATCAACATGCTCATATCTTATATAACAGCCTTCAAGTTGCAAAGATGCCCCAAGTGCCAAGGGACAGACCAAGCCTATTTGGTCAACACAACTTTTAACACATTTTGAGCAATCATTTGGCCTCAAATCACTCCTGCACTGGTATAAGCCATATATGGATCCCTCTGGTGGTGATGAACTTCCATTTCCAATAGCATAGCTATTGTAAGAATTGTCAGAAGATGAGCCAGAAACTGAAGACAAAAAGGAATTGAGGTTGGCTTCAAAGGGTGTGTTTGGTTGGTATTTTTCTTGAGAGCAGCCAGCATAAATGAAGAAATGAGCTCTACTAGCGTAGGCTTGGGCAATAGGAATCGAAGAAAAGAAAAATAGAAGATATGAGAATTTCAAAGCTAAAATGATTCTATGAGTTGAGTCTAATTGAAGGGTTATGAACATTTTTCTTTCCTTGTTTACTCTCTCTGAAAATGAACTTAACTTCCTTTCATGGTTATCACAATTTCAGAGTGAGATGGTGACTGCTTTTTTAGTCGTTTCTCACATGATGCCTTTTTCCATAGTGAAGTCTTATTATGTTAAATGCTATCTTTGAATACTCGTCTATTTTTACTTTACATTATTTTTATAAACTTGTACTGATACTCATTATTTTACAATACAAATTAACTAACATCAGATTGAGGGTAGCATATGCTTTTAAGATCACTTTACTTATCACCTCTGATTTCTGACATCCTAAAATAGTACATAAACAAGTAAATCCTCTATGATTTATGACACCCTGCATATGGGGTGAAATTATGATTACAATGAGAAATTTCATGTATTATCTTTAGAGAGAAAACAAAAGAATATATTCTATTAGTATTCACCTTATCTTCAAACTGTAAAAACCCCATTGAGTCATTCACACAGATGAGCCATACCATTTGTTTGAAGATACTCAAGATCATTAGAAAATGAAAGATATGAATGTTGACAATAGGGACGAGAGTTCCCAACATTATCTAGAAATTTTTTATCAAATTAAACCAACTTTTTTGGCCACTATTTTGATAATTGAATAGCTACTATCATTGTTTGTTAAATAAATTGTAATTTATCCTCTCAAAATTTCACATTTTTCTTGCCTATTTGCTTTTTGTATCACTAAAATATTTATAATTTTTCTGAAGGATAAGATAACTTGCTTGGTTGTTCTTGCTCTCTTGAAAATCTAGTCCCAGGTGTGGCAGTATCTTCATTCTACCTTCTAAGCATAACTTTGTCTCCTTTTGTGTCATAGAATTCTTTGTAAACGCAAAGGTGAGATTATCTATCTTTGAAAAAAGAAATCCGATTGGAATTTCTTTTTAACATCAACACCATCTCTAAGAGCATGCTTTCCTCTTCTTTCTTTCATTCTCTTTCTAAACTAAGAGAGTTATGTTACGAACAAGATTACGACTATATGCAGAAAAAAAAAAACGTTATTCCTTCCTGTATTCTTTCTCAATCCCAAAAAAATAAACTAGTCACAACAAAAAAAATAACAGACGAAAGTTCTAGAGAGAAAACGTAAGTTTCCTCACAACGAGAAAGATTTTAGTCACTCTCACTCACCCCATTTCTCTCCCCCTAACAGAATATTGTACCCCCCACATCAATATTCACACCCATGTAGCCTGGAATTAGTGACTTTCACGCGCGAACTTCTCCTATTAACTACCTCACGATCATTTTCCACGTGTTCAGATTCTGTCCTTGTTGCATCCACTCTGATTCGGTTGTCCCACTCATTTCTTCATTACAATTCCTTCCCCTTTAAAACCGACCTTGTCCTCAAGGTCGAATGATGGATATGTCGTTTCCATGGCAGCCTTGTCTTCCAATGTTGCTTGAGACTGATCCAAACCTTCCCATTGGATCAACAATTGTGGAATTTGTTGTTGTCCTCTCAAGATAACACGATCCTTCAGTATAGCTACAGGCTGAATAACGGACAAGTGTTCATCAACAGTGAATGGTAACAGAACATACAATTGAGTGTGACTTCCCTAACAAAGCTTAAGCTGTGAAACACGGAACACTGGGTGAATCTTTGTCGATGAAGGGAAGAGTAACTTATATGCAACCGCCCCAATTCGTTCTACCACCGAAATGGGCCCAAAATACCTCAAACTCAGCTTCTGATTTTTTCTTAAGGCAACAGTGTGTTGTCTATAAGGTTGAAGTTTCATAACCTGTTGAGCTCTCTGTAAATTGCACTTTAACTTCGCTAAAGTGACATCACGAAGCAATAATTGATCCTGAACAACAACTAGATCTTGAGAATTAGGAGTGTATCTCAACAAGTGCGGGGATATCTATTAGAATCGTGCAGCGGAATGATCGCGTGGTCGGACAAAAATCAAGAGGGGCTGAATTGGTTTCTTAATAAAAATTAGGTTTTCAAAATTTTCCCCAAATTTTACCGATTAAAAACTGTGTAAATGTAAATAGAGAAGAGAAGAGAATCTTACACAGGAGATTTATACTGGTTCGGATCAAAAGACCCTACGTCCAGTTGCTAATCACTCAACAGAGGATTAACGCTGTCACTATAATCAAAGTTATTACAAACAAGTTACAATGAAAGAGATAAAGTAAAGATAACACCTCTCTTGAAATCTACAAGAGATGAAGAACAACTTTCCCTAGAGACGGCACAACACACAATCCACTAAGAACTCCACTTAGTGATTCTTATCGCTTCTAGCCCACACCAGGTTCCAAAAGTCCATTTTCCTTGCAACAAACAGTTCTCTGGCACTCACACCACTTAACTTTTGTATGGAAAAGGTTGTTCTTCTTTTCTGAGTGCCAAAGAAGAGTTTAAGTAGATAAATTAGGGTTTAGGAATTGGGGATTTCGAAACTAGGGTTCTTGGTAATTGGGTTTTCGAAAATAGGGTTAATTTGAAGTTTAAAATCAAAAACAGACTGAAATAATCGATTAAATGGAGTTATAATCGATTAAAACAGAGCCAAAAAAACAGAACCCAAAACCTCTCTGTTTTAATCGATTATTTGAAGTTTTAATCGATTATTTGACCAAATAATCGATTATTTTGATGTTTTAATCGATTAAAACAGTGAGTATATACTGAAAATGGTTTTCTCACTATTTTAATCGATTATTTCCCTATATAATCGATTAAAGCCAAGCCTGGATGATATATTTGGGCTTTTTGAAGCTTCTAAGTTACAGACTATGTACTGGCTATCTCAAACTCTAAAATTACAGACTCAATCTAATTAAAACAGAGTTATTACACTACAAAACACGTCTTCAATACTCTAAGTCTTTGAGTTCTTGAATCATCATCAAAATCATCAATCTTCATGTTCATCAAGTGCAACATCAAGTCCTTGAATGTTCAACAATCTCCCCCTTTTTTATGATGATCAAAATTATCTTTTAAAGCTCTTGTAATAACTTGTTTTATCTGTCATACTTAACAAACACATTAAACATACCAGATAACATTTAAATTTAATTCATAAGAGGCTTTAAATTTTTCTCCCCCTATTTTGATTATAATCAAAAAGAACTCTGCAATAACAATCATAAGAGCTCCCCCTCAAAATATGCATAAGTTGGAGAAGACTCCCCCTCAATCAAAGCATTAAAGAAACATCATATTTTATTTCAAAAGTGACAATTCAGTACATCATAAAAGAAAACAATCAACAAATTTTAAAATTCTTTACTATCATCATCATTAAAGTGTGCATTAAATCTATTTTCTAAACGGCACACTTTTTCATCTACGTCAGATATACGGCGAATTAATTCCTCATGCCGTACACCAGAAAGATTGAAGAATGATTACATCCTCTGATTCATGTCAGATAACATATCTTCCATGGATTGTCGAGGGTCTTGATGAGTAGAGGAAATTCCAGCATTTTGGATTTGGTCAGAGGGAAACTCAGCAACTGGAGGCATATCTTCATCAGAATCGTCATTAGCATCCCTTTGATTAGGAACGTCATCTTTGTGAACATAAATATCATTGACTCGCACCATTTGAAGTTGAGTCAATGTGCTGTCCAGCATGCGGTTTAAGTTGTTTGTTCTAACTGCTTGCTCACCTTCAACATTCACTCCTTTATATTCAAGAATACGGGATACAAGAAGGGCATATGGAATTTTGAAGGTGGGATGACGTTTTGCTTTAAGCATGGTCATTGTGACAAGAACACCCCCAATCTAAAGGTTCATTATTCATTATGGCATGAATAATTCGAAGATCAATGGATGAGCATTGGGCATGATTCGTAGCCCGGGGACATAAGATCCATACAAGTAAATGTAGAAGCATGCGTTCTTCCTTCTTTAAAGGTCCAGCATGAAGGATACGTCCAATCTCCATTGAGGGATTCCGTAGAAAAGAGCGATAAGCTAGGAACCTGTCAAAGTCATCTAGCTCACCATATACGTTAATAGCATCTTCTCGAATTGGAAAGTGAGCAACATTCTCCCAAATATCATCATCAAGAATTATTGTAACCCCTTTTACACGGGATGTAGCAATTTGATCTCTAAATTTGGATCTAGAGTAGAATACCCTAACTAAGTCAGGATAGTATGTACCTTGCATTTGGATAAACGGGAGAACTCCTTGAATTTCAAGAAGATTAGGAAAATTGAATCCCCTATGAATGAATTACTCACCAATAAGAAATTTGGGAGAAATAATAGCCTTTTCCTTCCAGTAGGTTAGAAATTCTTGATGGCCATCTGCATCAGAGATCCATCCTTCTACAGAATTAGGACGGGAATGAGAGGAGGGTGCAGATCTTCTTCTAGTTGGAATCTTAGGACGAGAAGATGAGGCCATTTGAAATAGTAGATGAATATCAAGAAAAACTAGAAGGACAAGTGATGGAATAAGGTGAAAGAGAGTATAATAAGGCAAGAAAGCTTGATTTCAAGAGTTAGAAGTGAGTAGAAGTGAACTAGAGGTCTCTATATATAGCAAAATCATGTCCAACGTTCATATAGAAGAGAATAAAGGCCAAAAGATCCGTTGGCAACTGCTAGAAGGCAAAACTGGTCGGGTTTAATCGATTAAAATTTAGAATAATCAATTAAACCAGTATCAGTTACATTTAATCGATTATTTTCAGCTGATAATCGATTATCAGCTGGTTTTAATCGATTATTTTGTGAAATAATTGATTATTCCAGAGACAAATACCCTGTTTTGGATGTTTTGAGTGAAAATAATCGATTATAATTCCCAGTAATCGATTATTCCAAAGAGGAATGCCCTGTTTTGAGTGTTTTAACACATGATAACCTATGAACATCCTAACCCACAAATTATAACATTATAATCATCCAAAAACAGTCAGATTAAGCAGAATTTAAGCTATTTCTAATATCCCTAAGTCTCTTCTAAGATCATAGAA